AAGTCTTTGTGTTTCACACTTCAGCAATGTGTTACCCCAATGTTGCCAATTCACATAGATTGACTGGGGGTGCATATACACTGTAGAAATAATGCAGTTTAGCAAAGTGTAGTAGTTCCACCCTATGAAATCTGGTGATTTTTAGCTTTATAAGGGCTTTAGCCTTCTCTGCCAAGAGTGGTAGTGCTTCACAATACTACAAATTCCAGGATTCTGTAGGATGGAGCTATGGCAGTTAAAGTAGGGTCAAACAGCATTTTTTGTATAGTGTGGATGCACCCTGGGAGAGATGGAGGGCGTGTGAGAAAGAGAATGCATATGCCTCAACAATTCACATATGAAAACCAGGACACGTGTGGGCAACATCAGAGTGTGGTCAAGATGTCAAGAGTTAAGAATGAGGAGGAGCACCCCAGCTAGGATAAACTGCAGCTGTTTGCTTTTGCTGAGCATACTGGGAAGGGCAAGATTTCACCCTTTTTTCTCCTCCATTCTCAGTTAATTAAGTGCAAACTACTTTGGGTCTTCCAACTCAGTTTGCAGCAATTGAAGTAAGCTGAGGACAAAGGGGGAAAGTGGGAAGAGGAAAGTGAAACTGGGACAATTTAAAAGGAGCTGAAAAAGTGGGATAGCAGACCATTAATTGGGACTATCCCTGCCAAATTGGGGCAGTTGGAATATGAGAATGTGAATTTGATTCTCTCACACTAGAAAGAGTAGGGTTCACAAGAGGTATGATCCAATGGAATCTGTGTGGTGTAGTAGTTGGAGCACTAGACTGAGAACTGGGAGATCCATGATCTAGTCTGCACTGAGCCATGAAACTAAGCTAATCTCTCTCTCTCTCTCTCTCTCTCTAAAAAGTGACATACTCCACAGGGTTGTTGTGAGGGGTTAAGTAGGATGGAGGAGATCCCTGTACTGTGGCCAAGTCATTGGAGGAAAGGTGCCATAAAAATGTAATTAATAAAATTAGTTCAATTATTTAATAATAAAAAGTATCAAAGAAATGAATGCATAAATACATAATAAATGATGCATGCTCCTGCCCAGACTGAGGCATAAAAGTCTCATCCATAACACATTTTGCAACATGTTTAGTGCCATTCTCATCAAGATACTCAGAACATGTACTGCAATTGGGCTTTTAATATATGTCCATATATGTATTTATATAGCCAGAAGTCATTCTGCCTTTGCCTGTACTCACCTAAATGGAACAATGTTAAAGATCTTAGACAGCAGGGATGGGCAGTTATGGTGGG